CACCAGCCTGGCAGCCTTTCCCATGCAATAGCACCATCACCATCCAAGTGACTTCAGAGAGCTGAGCTGACAGCAAAACAACCCTCGTGAAAAGGGTTGAGTACACAGAACTACACTTGAAATCTCCTAGATCTTTATCCTGAGGCAACTGTAGATATTAAAACAAAGTCAAAATTAAATATAGCTACTGTTTAGCACATTGTGTATTTAGCACAGGCATTGCCCTTGTCCCTCTATAACTGGGAAATGTGACCGCAGTGACAGAACTGCATTTTAATTACCAGGAGGAAAAAAAAAACACCCCAAAACCCACAACAGACAGTACTGCCAAAGCAGAAGAGACTTGGGCCCTGATCCTACAAAGACTTATGTACACATATACACCAAGCTTTACACCGTAACAGGACAATCATTTGTGTTGTTTCTCCAGTTACAGTGTATTTGAAAAATAAACATATACCAGCAATGGACTACTTTAGGATTTGGTCTTTTAGGTTAAATCTGACTAAATGGCCTAGAGGACAATATAGTCCTGAAGAAATCTTACATGCCATTAAAATAAATTATGTTAATTTTTATAGGCCTGCATTTTATTTCTGCCATTACATTTCACATTACTTTAGTTTACATCTGCTTATACAAATGAATCCATTTGCCTTTTAAAAAAACACAATTTAAAAATAATTTTATTTATATAGTGATGAGAAAGAAGTTATAAGTGAACAGTATATGGAAATACAGCAACTGAAACATTGAAATATTTAAAAATACAATACCAAATGTTAACATCAGAGGATTTCTTAGTATTTAAAACAAAGGAAAAAATGAGCTACACGAGATAACACTTCAAAGAAGGTGAAAAGGATCTGGGCATTACAAAATCCTAAACACTTATAAGAAGAATTGAAATATCTGGTTAACTCCTTTCCATTCAATTTCTGAACAATACTTTTATATTAAAAGAATATAGCTGGCCTAAATATTGCCCCCCGAAAGGGGGCAAGTTCTTGTATTACACACATCAAATAAACTGCTTTTAATTCAATCATTAAGATAATTAAATCATCAGAATCAACCTTGACAATAAGCAGAAAGGAAGCTTCAATTATTCTTACAATCTAAACAGTGAAAAACAAAAATGTAAGTAGAGTAAGATATCCATCGATGTTTTCATAATTATTTTACCACTGGAGAAACAAATTTGTATATCAATTTCTATATCAATTAGTACTTGGTCCTATTCTTCCCATGAAGTAGCACCTGCTTTGGATAGTTTCTGAAGCACAAGAGGAGACAATCAGATTGTTTCAATACAAAGCGATACTGAACCACCGTAGCCCACAAAATGACATAACTATACACTAGCTGAGGATTTAATGCATGCTATTCTGACCCTAACTCTGCAACAAATGCCATCCTAGATGCATAACTGAAATAACTGCTCGATGATGTGCCCAAGAATAAAACTGCAAAAAGTGTGAAAGTCATTTAGAGCCATAAGCGCTGGAGATTTCTCAGTAAGATTTTCATGATTTCTAAACACAGGTGACTAAACCACTTGGAGATTTTTGAAAAATGTCCCTGCCCTCATCATTTATGCACAATCAGTTCCATAGGAAAGTCAGGAACTGACAATAGAAAGCAAAGTCTTTTACTTCTTCTTCAATACCCTGCATCTAATTCAAGGGAAAGGTTCCTTCTCCCAACTGTAAGAGTAAACTGAGCTTCCAGGAGAGAGCTTACACAAAGCTTAAAGTAACACCTATGTACAACCCCTCATGCTATAGAAGTACAGTGGGAAAGCAGTGGGAATGTGGGGAGAGGAGAGATGCCTCGAGGGTTTGCCCAGGGGGGATGCAGCATGAGGAGCGGTTAGTTCTCTGTGTCATTGCACCACAGATCTCAGTGATGTGCAGGAGCCGATCGCAGAGCAAGAGGCAAGACAGGAGGTGTTCCTGCCAGGCCCTTGAGTGGATGTCCCAGACAATGCAGGATGAACCAGAGCCTTCCCCAGGGCCAGAGGAATATCCACTATATTTCTGCAGTGTCTCCAGCAGGAGGTCTGAGACTGAAGGGTGAGAGAGCAACACTGATATTTTGAGTTGGAAGTCAAAAATGTGACAGCAAACATTTCCACAAAGGGAAATAAGCTTTAATCAGGGTGTTGATCAATCATAAAATACATTTTTCAGCTTACATTTATGACTTTGGTTTAATTCTTAGTGGGTGGGTGGGTGTCTTCATCTAAACTAGGACACCTTTCAGCAGTAAAAAATTTCTCTCAACTCAAAATATCCATGTTGCTCTTTCACCCTTCAGTCCCAGACCATTATCTGCTTTCTGGATAAACAAAAGCAGCCAACGTTTAATTAAATATCATTAAAGAAAGAAGCTTACTTACAAAACTGAATTCCAAAGCATGGCCCACAGAAATTGACATGACTTTTAGAAAGTTTAATTTATGTGCCAGTGCCGTCAGTTAAAAAAAGTATTACCCAAACAGCCAAAAAATTATATTTCAAATGACTGTAGTGGGAGCTTGGATGATGTGCTTTGGTAATTCGTCAATGTTTCTGCTATATTAAAAAAAAATTCAAATTATTAAGTGTATCCTAAATCAGTCAGTCACTTCAAGGTACACGACTATCACAATTATTGAAAAAGGCCTTGATCCTGAAAACATTTATGTCTGTGAATTTTTAGACAAGTGAATAGTCTTTGTAGGACTGACCTCTTACTTTACGTTGTTCACACATATGAACTTGTATGCACGATCAGAGACTAAGGCAGAAATACACATTTACAAGCTATCAACATTTTACCTAAAATGTCTCTTAAAACGGATTCAAAGTCATTACCAGCTGTTTCTTATTTAAAGCTTAATATCCGTGTAATATTATAGACAGTTTTACGCAGAAGCATCTGAAGTTTTTCATCCTTTTTGCCTTTGGTTTCAAAAAAAAAAATAAAAAAACTGGCCTAAAAAGCCATCTTAAGACCAAGGAAATCATCCATACTCATATCAGCCCCTTAGAATTAGAAACACTCCAACTATGACAAATCACAGTGATAGCATGAATAAAACATCACAGGTTTTATTGTGTAATATATTTTATAAGGTCAAAAGTTACATCTAATCAGCAATGGCAGCCTTGGATTCTAATGGATTCATAATTATTCTACATCCAAGAAGCAAAATATTACATATGCTCAAAAATTTAAGAGTTAAATATATATATATTTCAAACAATATCTGGTTTTTTCAGACATGCATATTTGAACAAACAGGCAGCTTTCAAGAGACCATGCTCTGAAAAAAGCGATGCTTTTGTTTGCATTTCCAGATTAATACGCATTCCGATAAAAGCATGAAATGTTACCAGTGAGCTGTGTGGCTTTCTAGACCTACCACAAATATATTATCTGGAAAGAGCTGGGTACTGAATGCAAACAGTCTGCTGCCTTCCCTCGACTTATCACTCTGCTGTTTCAATATTTTTTCCTTTGACTTTGCCCCCGTATCTTAGCAAGTGACACATTCCCTACTGAAAACTACATTTATGACAAGTTTTAATACTTGAAATGAAAACTTGTGTCCATTCTGCACAGAAAGTACCTGGAAAGTGTGCTTTCATGCAAAATCCTTTCTTTCTGCTTTTCCCAATACACACATGTTCTTTTTTTATATCACAGATTTTAAAATTGTCCCGTGCAATTTAAATAAGATTTCCAAAAACAGTAACCTTTTTACAGGGAAAAATCAGAGTATTTCCAGTTGACAAAGTAATTTGTGAGGGACATGCAAAGCACCTGAAAAAACAGACTGCAATGAAAACCATTTTAACTATAGCAACAGCACTCACTGCATAATGTTAAAAGGAAAATTATGCAATTAGGTCTCTTATCAGACTTAGGAAAATTCAGATTATGCCATTTGGAGGAATGAAAAAGAAAAATCATTGTTCTCCACATCTCCCTTGGGCTCTACCTAGGGGAGGGGAGTGATGACCAGACAGCGAAAATTAAGAAGAATGTGTCCCACCTTACGCCTATTCTGCCAATCTGTCACAGTTGTTCTTCTAGCTCCATAGGTTTACATGATTTTTTTTCCCCTAATTTTTTTCTTTTTTTTTTTTTCTTAATGCTGACAAGTAATACAAGACAGATTCTTGCCTTCTTAGGATCTTGCAATCTAGTTTAGACATAGCACGTCAAGTGGTGATGAAAGAAGGTTAGGGTGGGTTTGAAAAGATGAGGATTCCAACAGTAAACGATGCAGAGACATCAGTTTGGTAATGTACACATGTTTTGCATGATTCATTGGACCAAAATGGCCAAAGGAACTTAAAAAGCTGTCAAAGGCATCTTTACCTCTGACCTACCTAGTCATCCATCTGCTTCCTCATACTGTCAATCAAAACCCTCCCATCCTTATCACTATTCTATTACACACATTTTCCACAACCATTTTTCCTCCAGCTCTTAAAAAATATCTTAGCAAACATTTCAATCAGTCATTAAAAACCTTGTTAAAATATGCAATGTGTCATCAAATATGCATAGCGTACTCGTGCAAAATCTGTAAAGCGTAAATCACTGTATTACATTTGATATAGTATTAATGTGAAACATCATAGAAGGTATTACCAATAGGAACTTCGAATTACTTTCTACAGATTGAAGCTTGATTTTGTGTTGTATTAAATAAAGGAAGGGCAATTGAATAGATTACTTTACACAACAATTAAATTAAAACCCATTCAGCATGCCTAGAAAAATAATACAAACTACACATAAAATTCATGCAATTAATTGCTGTTCTAACAAATTCATACACGGGGGTTTGCTTCAATTTAAATGTACTGGGTCAAAACCCGCGCATTCGCTCCTCAGTGAATGCAGACACTTTAACGGGTTGGTAAACATATGTTTAGCAGATATACAGGTGCACCTCTAAAAATAATATTCTAAAAAATTATAATAGTAATAAAGTGACCTACCGACAGGAAATAGCCTGTTTAACTTCTGCAGCCCTTATCTCTTCCAGTCTCTTGCACAAATAGTTATGGAATTATCCTGTCGAAATAGTTACGGAATAACATCAACCACTCACGCACAGGAAAGAATTTTGTTCAGACCTGTCACACGTTACGTATTTATTCCAGACCCGCTGGATAACCCCCACTAAATAAAACCTGGCGGAACCTCCGTGAGGAGCGGTCTGCCCGGGGTGACTGCCCGGCGGGCAGCAGCCCCGGCCCCGCGGCGGCAGAGGGGAGGCGG